AACAAACAAAGGGAGATTCCTTTAGGAGCCTTATTATCAGCATTACACATTTCTTCAAGCAGGAGCACGTCTGGAGGGTGAGCAGCATTCCCTCCACCAGGCTGTGCTTGAGACAGCGCTGAATCACCCCTACAGCCGCAGACGTGTCTGGGCAGACCCGGGGCTGGTGCACAAGTTTCACTCTGGATCAGCAAGGGCTGCAAGTGGGAGAAGGTCCTGCCCACGGAACAGCTCAACTACCAAACGAGTTTGGATCTGGTATTTAAGAGACAGATGGTGCAAGAAGTGTGAGGGACAGACCAGCTGCTCCAGTGCCATGCCAGAGCGTGGGGCCATGCCACCAGCAGAGCCCTGTCCAGCAACAGGCACAGCAAGAACAAACCTGCAGGAAGGCTGTTCAGGGACTGTTGGCAGAAAAGCGTCCGGCTGTGGCACAGGGCAGCAGCTCTGCCCCATGCACAGGAAGAAGATTCCCTGGTGCCCGGGCGAGGCCTCCTGGCACCCCGGGCTGGGCAGTCGGCAGCACGCCCGCTCCCTACCTGGTTCTTGTAGATGGTGTAGCCTTCCTTCTCGTGCTGCAGCGCCGACCGGAACTCCGCTTTGCTCTCGTACACACGGGCTACCAAGTGGTGGCTGAGGGGAGGAAAAGGGTTTAGGGCTCTCCCTGGAGCAGAAACACTCCCACACTCCAGCGAGTGTGACTCAGGCCAGAAGCGTTCACACTGGTGTGCGAGAGGCAGAGGGGGGCTCTCAGCACAGCACCCTGGCAGTGACTTCTCCCCACCCAGTCTGGGGATCAGTATGTTCCACTGATCTGGGTTGGATTTATGTTGAAATGCTGGAAAGTGACCTACAGAAGTAAAGACTGAACTGGGGATTTTCTCCTCCTGCACCCAGGGAAGCTGACAGCCACAGCACGAACTGAATGGAAGCAGCACCTCCACAGGAACACCTCAGGGATACATTTGCTAACTGGAGAAGGAGGCAGCCACAAGACCTTACCCTTCAAAAAGGGTTGTTTCTTAGAAAGCAAATGTGTGAATTACTTGATTATTCACAGCCAAAAGTAAATTAAAAAAAAAAAAAAAAAAAAAAATTCTTCCGGCACAGAAGCCACCAGGAATCCAGTGGCAGAGCTGGGACCCAAGTCACAGGGGCTCTCTCCAGTTGGGAGAGCTGGCTTGGACTTGGCTTCCTGATTGTTTCTGGAATGAAAAAAAAGGTTTCTAGTTTTGGCAGTGTTCCTCTGGGAGGTGATGAATCTCACCCAGCATCCCAGTGTTACTATGGGAAGGCAAGATGCCTTCTGCAGAACACATATCCATCAACTCCTGGAAAACAAACCAGGCTCTTGTGGGTGCTTAGTAAGATTTATTTTCACTCTGACGAAGAACAGATGGGTTGCAATGTGGCAGCAGTAATTAGGAGTGGGCCACTGCTTGGTTGGTAGTGAGCCAGCGCTGCCTTCAAGGACAGTGCCTACAGCACTGAAGAGCAGATCCTGAAGGTGCCGACCACTCACTGCTCCTTTGGAAACACAAGGAAGCCTCTCAGTATTTTATTCAAATACAAGGCTTTATGGTAAAGGACAAAAGCAAATTATACAATTCTCAAAGAGCTCCCTGAGGGCTGAAACAATTAAGTGCAAGTGTTTATGCATCATCGCCTGGTCTCCCAGGATAATTACACGAGCCTCGCTCTCCAACCCTCACTTGCTGCATACATTTTTCCACTAAGAGTCCACATGGACCAGGGTAGTCTTGACAGATTTTTGGGGCAACCAGCATTACAGCAGATCCCACAATTAAGAACAAGGGATCTCTGTCTTTTGGGACAACAGGTCTGGATGCTGCACACGACCTTGCCTCATGCGGCCCAGCAGCACCTAGGAGTCCAGCCGCGGGGATGAGACCGAGTTCATAACTGAAGAGGACAGAGCTGCATCAGGCCCCTCCTGCAGGGGGGTGAGTGTACTGGCTCCTGCAGCAGGATGGTGACCCCCCCAGCACCCCACCCCGACTCACCTCAGCGCAACTTTCAAAGACTTGGAGCCGTGATACTTGGAGCTGATGGCCAGCGCGTTCTCCAGGAACCGGAGGGACAGGTCATACTCCATAACCCCGTGGAGCACCAAGCCAATGTTGTTCTGAATAGAGAAGTCAAGCAGGCCTTCAGAAAGCAAGTTCCAACTACACATTTATTGCTCTGTAAATACCAAGACCACAGGGGTACTTCACTGCTGAAAGGGCTCCGGCAACCGCAGGTCCCCAGGAGACAGTCTCACAGCACGTGACACGAG